GATCTCCAGCCCTCAGCCCTCTGTGCAGCGCCTGGCCACCCAGGCCCGGGGTGCAGAGGCGGTGGTCCCAGGACAGCCCCCGGCAGGCGGCGTGCTCTGGGAAACGGACGAGTGCCCATGGGGATGTCTCCTGAAGATGGCGAGGAGCCGTCAGTCCCTCGGAGAACGCTCTCCCTCATCCACCGTGACCTCACATAAAGGGATACAGTGGGGCCTTGATTTACGAGTGTCCCGACTAACGAGGTTTTCAAGATACGAGCTGTCTCTCGGCCGATTTTTTGCTTTGAGTTGCGAGCTAAAATTCAGGTTACGAGCCAGCTTCAGATACCCCACCGCTAGTTGGCGCAGCGAATGTCACCGTGAACGCCACAACATCAGCCCAGCATCACGTGTCTCACTCGTTCACTTTTGATTTGACCTATGAGTAATTTGAGTTACAAGCTCAGTCACGGAACGGATTAAACTCGTAAGTCAAGTCCCCACTGTACTTTCTGACCCGGTTCAGGACTTTTAAATCAGGGCCTTTTGTAAGAAAATAGAAGAGTTTTCTCCGAATTTCAGATGAGATGGAAAGTACTTTGACTTCAGCTCTGGAACAACGTTCTGTGTTCCTTGGGGAATGGGGACCCCCCAGACAGGTTGTAGGAAGAATGAATCTTCTTGCTTCCCTGCTTCTCCCCCGAACTGAGCTCTGAATAGCTGATGCCGATGATGCAGATGAGCCGGGTCAGCGGGAACCGCAGCCAGGCCAGAGCAGTGGCCGAGCAGCGGGAGGCAGCCTAGCCTCGCACAGCACAGCCTGCTTCCCGCCTACTTTTCTGGGTGACACTGGAGGCTGCCTCTATTCTGCAGTCCCAGCCTAATGCCTTTGGCTTCACCTCCATAAAGAGATTGCAGAGTAAATGCTTGAAGACCGGGCCTTGCAGCCAAGGAAAAGCTTTTCTCACTCTGACTGGCAGCCAGACCTAGAGCCACGAAGCGGGACATAAGTTGCCACCAGGCTGGTGTCCCCTGTCGGGGAGCAGGGCTGAGTTCGGGGCTGGGCCGGGCCGCACGTGCTCCTCTCCAACGGGTGGAGGGTGTGGGGTGGGAGCGTCTTGGGTCTCAATCCTGAGCACTTGGACACGGCTTTCCTTTCACGCCATCATCACCCTGCCCAGGGCGACCCACAAGCAGTGGAACTAATGTCCACCCCCCTCCTTTTCTATTCAAGCTGGTTGCTCCGAGACTCTGGCATGATGCTGAGAACGACGTACAAGGGCTTCACCGAAGCCGTGGACCTTTATTTCGACCACCTGATGTCCAGGGTGGTGCCGCTCCAGGTAAAAGCACCTGCCTGCCTACGGGGAGTAAACAGCCCTCGGGCAGCTCTCAGACCAGGGGCTCCCAGTTCCTTCCAACACAGGAGCTCATGCCTTCCCGCTGCCTGAGACCTGTAATCGATGTACTTATTGGTTGATTATTTTATTTATTTATTTTATTATTTTACTTTATTTTATTTTATTCCATCAGCCTATACCCTCCTCTACCTCTCCGCATCCCCTCCCCCCTACAATCACCACATGTCCCGGTCCAGGAGGTCTTTCTCTTTTTAAAATCTTTTTTGCTCAATCCCTCCACCCTCACAACCCCCCACCCTCCCACCAGAGCTCATAGTCAGCTGCTCTCTGTCTATGAGTCTGTCTCCATTTTGCTTGGCAGTTTAGTTTGTTCATTTAGATCCTTACATAGGAGTGAAATCGTAGGGTACTTGTCTTTCTCTGACTGCCTTATTTCTAAGGGAAATTTCTCATTTAGAATAATGCTCTCCAAGTCCATCCACGATGCTGAAAACGGTGAAATGTTCTTGCTTTTTTTCCCGGCCGAGTAATATTCCATTGCGTGAACGTACTGTAGCTGTTCCATCCACTCACGTACTGATGGACGCTGGGGCAGCTCCCACATCTTGGCTATGGTGACTGACGCCTGCAGTGAATATAGGGCTGCATCTATTCTTTTGAGTTAGTGCTTCAGGTTTCTTGGCATAAATTCCCTGAAGTGGAATCACTGGATCCTAAGGCAGTTCCATTAATTAATTTTTTGAGGGAACTCCATACTGCTTTCCACACCAATCTGCCTTCCTATCAGCAGTACGTATTTATCACAGTTTAAACATTTTTGTCTAGTAAGTCCAGTGTGTGTGTGTGTGTGTTTCTTTAAAGACTAGTAGGTAAAGCATGTGAAAACGTCAGGGGGACTACAGACTCCTGGAAGCCTGGGGGCAAGCGTGTGGAGGCGGAGGGATCCGATAGAACACGTAAGGCCACAAGAAGCCGCTGGGTGAGACTCTGGGGAAGTAAGACATGTGAAAGCAGCAGGAGAAACACACACACACACACACACACACACACACACCCACTCACACACACACACACACACAGTTTAGACAGGACAGATGCCCCAGAAATATCTGAGAAGGTCTTAAGCCTTCATCCTGGCTGATCTCAAGGCTTAGGAGCCCATTAAATAAGTGAAGACATTCCCTCCAAATCTGCAAAGACTGGGAGACATGACAGCTTTTTAAAAACCCAATTTTCAGGAAAAAACCCACACCAGATGAACAAGAAACATGGAAACATGTCTCACTCAAAGGAACAGAAATCTCCAGAAACAGTTTCTAAAGAAAGACACACACACCTGAGGTCTAGACGTTACCAACATACCCTGTTTCAGCTCCGAGTCAGAGGAGACAGACACTAGTCTGCTGGACAGACCACAGACAGCCCAGAGCACTGCAAACCAGTTCCATTGTGTTTCTTCTACCTTGAGGGAAGGAATGCAGAATTAGGATTTTTTTTTCCCTGACTGTGCCATGCTGCACCACAGAAGGGTGGGGCAAGGGCAAGCAAAGCATGCAATTTCATACCCTTTTGAATGTCTTTTTCTTAAATATTTTTTATTGATTTCAGAGAGGAAGGGGAGGGCGAGAGAGATGGAAACATTAACGATGAGAGAGAATCATGGATCGGCTGCCTCCTGCACGCCCCCTACTGGGGATCGAGCCCGCAACCCAGACATGTGCCCTAGACCAGAATCGAACCTGGGATGACCCTTCAGTCCGCAGGCTGACGCTCTGTCCACTGAGCCACACCGGCTAGCTCGGAATGTCTTTTTCTTGATTGGGCATTGATTTATCTGTTTAAACATTAGATTGGCTGCCAGAGCTCCTATACCAGTAGTTCTCAACCTTCCTCATGCCGCGACCCTTTAATACAGTTCCTCATGTTGTGGTGACCCCCAAACCATAAAATTATTTTCGTTGCTACTTCATAACTGTAATTTTGCTACTGTTATGAATCGTATGGTAAATATCTGATATGCAGGATGTATTTTCATTGTTACAGATTGAACATCATTAAAGCATAGTGATTAATCACAAAAACAATATGTAATTATATATGTGTTTTCCGATGGTCTTAGGTGACCCCTGTGAAAGGGTCGTTCGACCCCCAAAGGGGTCGCGACCCACAGGTTGAGAACCGATGTCCTATAGTTGCTTTGGCCAGGATGCAGTGGTTTATGTGATGTTCCCGTGGGGGATCACAGGCCGGGGGCTCTCCACCCTGTGGCTTGCTGCCATCCCTCTCAATCATACGCCAGACCTTGGAGACTTTCGCTTCCCAATGGGACGTTACGCTAGTCCCTGGTGAGACGTGGAGTGAAATGAGACCATCCGGCTCCCGCTCCACGCTGGGCTTCGGACTGTTTCTCTCTCCCCAGTACAAGCACGGGGGCCCCATCATCGCTGTGCAGGTGGAGAATGAGTACGGTTCCTACAACAAAGACCCCGCCTACCTGCCGTACGTCAAGAAAGTAAGTGTCCTCGCAATTCTTTCCTCACACTCCTTCCTCTCGAACGTCTGACAGGCTGTGGTGTCACAGGGGGTCTGATGCTGTTCTCATAGTAACACCGCATCCCTCAGTGCCAGTTCTTCACTAGCACATTTTTTTTCCGTGCTTTTTAAAAACTATATATATATTTATTGATTTCAGAGAGGAAGGGAGAGAGATAGAAACATCAATGATGAGAGAGAATCATTGATCGGCTGCCTCCTGCATGCCCCCAACTGGGGATTGAGCCCGCAACCTGGGCATGTGCCCTTGACCGGAATTGAACCCGGGACCCTTCAGTCTGCAGGCTGATGCTCAGTCCACTGAGCCAAACCAGCTAGGGCTTTCTTTCGCCATACTTTTGTCTCAGTAGGGTTATTGCACATTTGCCCTTTATCGATCAAGTTTAATTGGGGACGGCAGCGCCTCATGGTGCTGCAGGGCTGAGAGTGAAGGACTTTTATGGACTGACGGGCCCTGAGCTGCGCTGGGCAGATGGCTATGCCGGAAGCGGCAGTTGTCCATCCTGATGGGACAGTCAGCCACGCCTTGCCTGGGAAGGGAACATGTGAAGGAACAGCTTTAAAAGGCAGTTACCTGCCGAAACTGGTTTGGCTCAGTGGATAGAGCGTTGGCCTACGAACTGAAGGGTCCCAGGTTCGATTCCGGTCAAGGGCATGTACCTGGGTTGCGGGCACATCCCCAGTGGGGGATGTGCAGGAGGCAGCTGATCGATGTTTCTCTCTCATTGATGTTTCTGACTCTCTATCTCTCTCCCTTCCTCTCTGTAAAAAATCAATAAAATATATTTTTAAAAAAAAAGACAGTTACCGTCCTCATGTTCAGCCTCCCAGGCCCAGGATGCTGTATGCAAGTGGTGGCACGTGCGCAAACTTTACTATCAGTCAGCGACGGGTTGGAGTTGTGAGGTGGTGGGTTTTCAGGCTCGGATCAAAACCTCGCCTGGCCTAATGGATTCAGCCCCCGCAGCTTCTGTGGTCCCGAGAATTAGGGCCCCTCTGCTCTTTCCTCACCAGCGTCTGGGATCAGACCTGAGCGTCACTCATCCACCGGGTATCCCTCTGCCTCCTCTGCTTCCAAAAGAATTGGGTTGAAATAAGCAGTCTTGTCTTTATCCCACACTTTACCCCGCTTCTCTGAGGCTCTGCGTCTGCACAGCCAGAGGCTACTGTGCACGGAGCACAGCATGTACCTAACGCGCCCAGTGAGGCCTGGGGATCGCCCAGGCTCCCCCGTGTCAGCCGTTGTTCCGATGGGGAAACGGTTATTGTCTCTCAGCGCGGCGCGTGCCCCTTCCGCTTATTTTCACCATTTGATTTACAACCTTCAGGGAGCACTGACTGTTCCACTGGGCATGTGCAGCACGCCACGGGCAGGTGCCAGGGGCACGGCTGGTGCCAGAGCCCACCCTGCTGGGGGTGGGGAAGGGGTGGGCTGCTTGCTCTGGCGAGGGTGATGGGGAGGCGTGGGCTGTCCCTGAGGTCCTGGCCCACTCTGGGGTCCCTGCGGTCTCTTGCCCGATGGCAGTACGGCGTCTGGCCTCGCCGAGCCGGCCTCTGCATAGTCCTGTCTAGGGGCGCACAGTGGCCATTCTGGGCACCTTGCGGGACCGGGAGCAGCCGAGGGTGCCTGAGCCGGGCAGCCCTGCCCCTGCCGCACTGGACTCCAGCCGACGGAGCTCTGCCCACCATCGCGCACACGGACAGAGCGGGTGTGTCTGTTTTCTGCAGGGAAATAACATGCTTTATTGGAAGCTCCTCCTCCTTCCCTTCCTGCCGCCTCCTTCCCAGCGGCGTGGCCGGCAGGAGCTCTGAGGAGGGGTGGACGGTGACCCCCTCATTTCCCTCCCCTAGGCCTTGGAGGACCGAGGGATTGTGGAGCTGCTCTTGACTTCAGACAACAAGGACGGCCTGAGCAACGGGGTCATCGACGGAGGTGCGTGGAGGCGGGGCGCGCCCGGCCTGGCTGTGCACGCTGCCTGGGCAGCCGCCGGTCCTTCTCCCTTCTGCCTGGCACTGGGCCCGGAAGCGCTGGGACATCCGCGTCCGAGGCGGACTTGCTGTCGCCAGCTCTGTCGTTCGATGATGTTTCTCTCTCATTGATGTTTCTAGCTCTCTGTCCCTCTCCCTTCCTCTCTCTCTCTCTAAACGTCAATTAAAAATATTAAGAAATATCACCTTCAATTTAAAAAATATAACACATGATTGGGTAGAATAGAAAATCAGCCCTCGTCTGAGAAATACACGGGGAATCAGCCTATCCTGGTGCTTGAGGTGCAAAGTCAAGATCCGACTCCAGGCTCCTTCAAGAGGGCGATGAGCAGAAATGCACTCCGGCTGGGAAAGTGACATTGATCAGAAGCGTGGGGAAGGTCTGTGCTGAGAGCTGATGGTCCAGGTGAACAAGACCATCTGGCATCAGAGGAACCAGACTGATCCGGGGTGGGAAACGATGTCAAGATTAGTTCACTTGTTTCGCTGGTGAATTGAGAAAGGTCTGGGGCAGTTCGGCAAGTCCTCCTGGCTTCGAGACAACACTTAACCTTCCCTTCTCTCCTTTCCATCCCCAGTGCTGGCCACCATCAACCTACAGTCGCAACACGACCTGCAGTTATTGACCATCTTCCTCCTAAGTGTCCAGGTGAGCCTGGCCCGGGGAGCTGGCTGCCGCTCCGCGTGCGTGTGGGGCTCTGAAGCGAGTTTGGTGCAGCCTCTTGGGGAGGGGGACTCTGGCGCTGCCAGCTTTTCAGTTCACAGCCCGCCTTCCACGCTGCAAACCCTGACCCTGTGCACCGGGCTGCCACGCCCCGGCCAGGGGAGCCGTGTGCCCTGAGGCGTTGCAGTTGGGCCTGGAGTCATGTTCTAAGCCAGGGGTCCTCAAAATACGGCCCGTGGGCCACATGCAAATACAAATATTGTATTTGTTCCCGTTTTGTTTTTTTTACTTCAAAATAAGATATGTGCAGTGTGCATAGGAATTTGTTCATAGTTTTTTTTTTAAACTATAGTCCGGCCCTCCAGCGGTCTGAGGGACAGTGAACTGGCCCCCTGTTTAAAAAGTTTGAGGACCCCTGTTCTAAGCTCTGGGCTGGGTGTGCTCACTGAGGCCTCTTGACGGGAGTTGTGTGGATTCGGGAGTTGTGTGGATTCAGCCGTATGCTAAGGGCTTTCTGTGCATCGTGTCAGTTAATCTTCCCAGGACCCCTGGGAGCTGGCCACCGCTGTTACCGTTTTCCAGTAAAGGAGACAGCTTTGTAGGACGGAGCAAGCACCCAGCAGTAAGAGGCAGGCTGGGGTGTGCAGCACAGCCCGAGTGGGTGCACGGCTCCAGCTGGGACCACACTGTGCAGGGCAGTTACCTGGGCTATTGGAGAGCCCCCCAGCTTGGCCCCCGCACCCTCAAGTCAGAGTCCCCTCCTGGCCCGGAGACCAGTGACGTGCGGGACTTAGAATGAGTTCTCCTTTCCTGGACTTAAATGTCGTACAGGATCTCCCCTTTGGGGAGGTAGACAGCGAGCGCTAAGGAAAACCCAGCCACTTTCTTAGTCTTGCAAAAAATGATGGCACCGCTTTGGCCTTTCCCCTGGCGTGGTGGTACCTTCTACTGAGTGGCCTGTAAGTCTGCCCGTCACCTGGGATCAGATTGTGTATTCAGCTGCCTCTAAACATATTGCTGTCACTGACAGCGGAGGTACGTGATGAATGAGGAAGGCTCGGTGTGGAACCTGAAATACCAGCGTATCCGTCCTCCTCCCTGCAAACCCCCCTCCCCACCCCTACCCCACGCTGCTCTGGTGCTTCTGCAAACGTGCAGGCTGGAGCAGGGCCCTGGGACCGATGTCGGCATCCCTGGGACCACCCTGTGCCAGAGGCTCTAAAGTCATGTCTGAGACTCGCTGAATATCCTCCCCAAGCGAGGAGGCGGGCATTGTGGCTGCAGGGCTGCTCGCGAGTAGCTGTGCTAGCGCGTCCTGCCCCTCGGCTCCGATTTTGTAAACTTTATTGAAATGTCCCTGGGCCTTGAAGAGGGCCCACGCTCTGCCCTTGGACTCTGCCAGCTGAAAGGGAGCAGTCTCGGGGGGCTCTGCAGCCGCAGAGCAGTTACCCTGACACCATTCTCCCTTCCCGGAGAGGCTAGGCAAGGCTTGAGGGTCAGTCGGTGCAGGAGGAGACTCCCGGACCGGAGGCTGGGTTCTAGGATGAAGCCTTAACTTGGAACAGATCCCAGGTTTTCTCACCAGCACCGCGTGCAGCGGGGTCTACTGTGTCACCTCAGGGAGCACGTTCGCTCTCCACCTGCAAGGTGGAGGCCACGCCTGGAGGCTAAGCTGGGGCAGGTGCCTCTGGCCGCCTCCGTGCTCTGCGTTTGGGGGCCTCGGGGGTCAGGGGGACAGCTGGCAGGACTGAGGGCGTGGCCTCGCCCTGCGAGGGGCTTTCCTCCGTTCCCCTCTCTTGACCAGCTAACTTCTCATTTTGTGGTGCCAGGGGGTTCAGCCCAAGATGGTGATGGAGTACTGGACGGGGTGGTTTGACTCCTGGGGGGGACCCCACAACATCCTGGATGCTTCCGGTAAGTGCTTGCAATCCCTACGTCTAACGGGGGTGGGAATAAGTTCCGATGTCCCCCTCACTGAGTCTGCAGTTATTTGCATGTCAGAGTTGGCTCTTGATACTCCAGAATCATGTGTCTTGACATCTGAAGTGAACAGTAGGATTTTAATTTTATTTTATTTATTAAAAAACACATTTTTATTGATTTTAGAGAGGAAGGGAGGGGGGAGAGAAAGAGAGAGAAACATCAATGATGAGAGAGAATCATTGATCAGCTGTCCCCTGCACGCCCTCTACTGGGGATGGAGCCCACAACCTGGGCATGTGCCCTGACTGGGAATCGAACCGGTGACGACCTGGTTCACAGGTCAGTGCTCAACCACTGAGCCACGCCGGCTGGGCAACAGTAGGATTTCTAAGTGGCTTTATTATGTTTTTGTAATTAGATGAGGAACACATGCCCGTGGCAAACATCCAGCAAATACAGAAAATGTCTAAAGAAGAAATAAAAATCCTAGAGCCCAGACAGTACTGCGATGCGCACTGTCTAGGCCAGTGATGGCGAACCTTTTGAGCTCAGCGTGTCAGCATTTTGAAAAACCCTAACTTAACTCTGGTGCCGTGTCACATATAGACATTTTTTGATCTTTGCAACCATAGTAAAACAAAGATTGATATTTTTGATACTTATTTTATATATTTAAATGCCATTTAACAAAGAAAAATCAACCAAAAAAATGAGTTCACGTGTCACCTCTGACACGCGTGTCATAGGTTCGCCATCACTGGTCTAGGCAGCTGTCGCTCTGCCTCTGTCGGCAGCCCTGTGTGCACGTACAGACAGAGGTGTCGCCTGCTGGTGCCGGCGAGTGACACAGATGGGCAGCTTTCTGTCCTGTTCAGTATAAATTCCATCGCTGTTTCCAAGAAGCCCATTGCGTGGCGTCTCAGTCAGCTACGTGCCCAGTCTCTTGTAGACGTGCACTGAGGTGGTTTCCAGTGTGTCCTGTGAATTGAACACCATGGCACTGAGCGTGCTGGAACATCCAGTTTTGCACACTTGGCCTGTTTTTCCCAATGACAAGTTCTTAGCAATACCCTGACTACAAGAATGCAATTTTGATAAATCTATTTACTAAACTGCTGCCCAGGATTGCAGCAATTCTTAACTCTCCATTATTCAAGGAGAATACCAGTTTCCCACAGATTCATCAACACTGAGTATGAAAATAATTTTAATGTTTGCCAATCTGATAGCTCGTTGTTATTTCGCATTTCTTTGACCAATGCTGATGTGTGTGTGTGTGTGTATCTATTTATTAACCATTTATATTTCTCCTTTGATACTGTCTTCATGTCATTGGTCCATTCTCTAATAAGGGGAGGATTGGGGAGGAAGTCAGCACCATATCCCTACCTATGAACCCCCCTGCTTGTGTCTCAGTGAGGGGGCGAAGCATGTTGGTGGCAGGTGGAAGCTGCCCTGGGCCATAGTCAATGAAGGCTTGTCTGTGATTTTATTTTTTTAAAATATATTTTTATTGATTTTTTTTACAGAGAGGAAGGGAGAGGGATAGAGAGTTAGAAACATTGATGAGAGAGAAACATCGATCAGCTGCCTCCTGCACACCCCCTCCTGGGGATGTGCCCGCAACCAAGGTACATGCCCTTGACCAGAATCGAACCTGGGACCCTTCAGTCCGCAGGCCGACGCTCTATCCACTGAGCCAAACCGGTCAGGGCTTGTCTGTGATTTAAAAAACAACTGCAAGGCCCAAGCTCTGGAGCTGAGATCCCGGTGACTCCTCTTCCTCCTCCGGTGACGGGGGGCATCAGGGAAGCGGAAGGACAGCCAGGGAGTTGAATTGGGGGAGGGACGGGGAGAGGTGAGCGTGCCTGGGGGACATCTGGCTTGTCTCAGACTCGGGCTCACTGCGCATGCCCCTCCCCGCTCCCTGTAGAGGTTTTAAAAACCGTGTCGGCCATCATCGACGCCGGCTCTTCCATCAACCTCTACATGTTCCACGGAGGCACCAACTTCGGCTTCATCAACGGAGCCATGCATTTCCATGACTATAAGTCCGACGTCACCAGCTACGGCAAGTCTCCCCCAGGGCCGACCCTTCCCGGAACGCCCCATCATCGGTGTGTCCGTGTTTTTTACGATAGTCCTTCAGGGACAGCTCTGGCACCTTGAATGCGTTTGGCTCGAGTGCCCGGGAGGGGGAGGGGGAGGTTTGGCGTGGACGGTCACTTTTCAACCTGCAGAGCGGTGGGAGGCCGGAGCCCACTGGCAGGCCGCGAGCACTGGGGAGTCGGCGGGAGGAAGTGAGAGAGGCCCCCCCTCCCCAGGCGGGGAGGTCCCGCTCCGGCCCTGGAGGTGCTGTGACCCCCTGCCCTCCGGAAGGCAGGAAAGATGCCTGGACGTGTCGGGCTGTGCTGTGGCCATGGGCAGTTTGGCGGCATTTTGCAGTAGTTAGTCGTATTTAGAGTCTTCGGCTGACAGCTCACACTGAAGTGTTCTGCCTCCCACTTGCTGGGACGAGGGCCATGCTGCCCGACCCCAGCGTCTCCCTTCTCTCTTTCTGCCGAGTGACGGCCCCGGTGTCTTGCAGACTATGATGCGGTGCTGACCGAGGCCGGCGACTACACAGCCAAGTACGTCAAGCTCCGAGAATTCTTTGGCTCCATCTCAGGTACCTGGCGAACAGCAGCCAAGCACCAGCTTGGGCCCTTGCTCTGGTCGAAGAGCCCCTACAGCAGTGATGGCGAACCTATGACACGTGTGTCAGAGGTGACACGCGAACTCATGTTTTGGGTTGATTTTTCTTTGTTATATGGCATTGAAATATATAAAATAAATATCAAAAATAGAAGTCTCTGTTTTACTGTGGTTGCAAAGATCAAAAAATGTCTCTATGTGACACGGCACCAGAGTTAAGTTAGGGTTTTTCAAAATGCTGACACGCTGAGCTCAAAAGGTTCGCCATCACTGCCCTACAGGGTTCCTTCTTCCCTGCCCCGCCTCCCCCCAGGCGGTCTGTGTGCGAGAGCACCTCAAGGCAGGGACAGGCAGGCTTGGGAGGCTGTTTGCATGTGGCTGTGTTTGCAGGTCTGACTTCTGAGGGCTTGAGAAAGCCCCCTGTGCGCCCCCCCACACACCCCTCCCTCGGCATTCCCTGTCCCAGCCGGTGCCAGACTAAGGAGCACATGGGGCCATGGATAGGAATGTGGGGGCGGGAGGGGGGGAGTTGGGGGGAAGAAGGGTGGCCGCTGGAGGAGGTAGTGACTGTTTGGTCCTTTTCGGGGGGCCCTGTGGTCTGTGTTGCAGGCAGCCCTCTGCCTCCCCCACCCGAGCTTCTTCCCAAGACGGCGTACGAGTCCCTGAGGCCGGCCCTGTACCTGTCGCTGTGGGATGCCCTCCAGTACATGGAGCCGGTGAGCGCTGCCGCAGGGGGGCCGGGCCAGGGAGCCCTCCCTGCAGCTGTCGGGGAGGAAGAGAAAACCGGAGCAGGAAGTGGGAAAGCACAAAAGGAACTTGAAGGGACGCTGGGCAATGCGACGGGTTCCGTTTCTGCAGGCTCCAGGGGAGAGAGGAGGGTGCACCTCCCGTAGCTGATGCAGAGAGAGGGTGGTGTGATCTGAAACAATGGTGGATTGAAAAGCTACAAGGCCCCGCATAGCAGGGCTTTCTTCTTTTTTCTTTTTTCCCCCACATCTTCCTCTTTCACACCCACCTTCCCTGCGACTCTGGAGAGCCATGAGAAATCAAAATAGAAACCGTTGTTAAAGGCCCCTGCCCGCCGCTGCCCCCAGGGCACTAGCCCCCAGGTGGGGGCTGTCTGCTACCCTGGCCTTCCCCAGTGGATCCAGAGGAGGTCGCTGCCTTTCCCCCCACCCCACCCCGGCTAGCCCTGTGCCCCCTCCTGTCTGTTCGCTGTGCAGCCAACCATCTCTGAAAAGCCTGTCAACATGGAGAACCTGCCAGTGAACAATGGGAATGGCCAGTCCTTCGGGTACACCCTGTACGAGACCACCATCGGCTCCCCTGGCGTCCTCAGGGGTCTCGTGCGTGACCGGGGACAGGTAGGAGCGTCTCCTCTTACTTCTGTGCCCCGGCAGGGACCGAGCTGACAGCATCCCTCCCCTTCGCGCTCACGTGCCCCGCGGGTACCAGTGTGTAGAGGTCGCCCTCGCAGTGCGGCCTCTCTCTTCGCTTGGCAGAGGTTCCGCTCACTCCTCCCTCCCGTCAGCCCGCGATGCTGTCTGTCCGTTTATCCGGCAGGTGTTTGTGAACACAGTGTTCATTGGCTTCTTGGACTATGACAGGAAGGACATTGTCATCCCCTTAATCCAGGTCTGTTTCCTGGGGAGCTGGGCGGTGGGTAGCGCCAGCCTCTTCCTCAGCAGGTTTGGCAGGAATCAGAGAGGAGGACCCAGGGACCAGGAGCTCCTTCACCAGAGCTGTGGGTGGGGAGCGGGCAGAGCCTCGCTTTCTGACCGCAGGGGCGCTGGCCCTCCCACCCTGGCTGCTCAGGGAGGGGCTGGGGTGCTGCAGGGGAGGAGATAGTCATCATCTGTTCTGGCAGGGCTACACGGTGCTGAGGATCCTGGTGGAGAACTGCGGCGCGTCAACTACGGGCAATAACATCGATGAGCAGCGCAAAGGTGGGTCCACGGCGCATGCTGGGCGAGAAGCTGCTGACACTCAGCGTGGCT